GAGGGAGTGTCAGACTCTTACTGACTAAAAACCACCCCGTTCCTTCTCCTGCACGTCGAGCCGGAGCCCCGGTTACCCGTTAGGTTCTCCGCGACTCCGAATCGGCATCGGCCCTATTGGGCCCCATCTGTGGTGGTCTGATGGCTCTTTGAGGCGCGCGCGGAACGCGACGCGCCGTACGCTCGGGTCTGTTTCTGGTCGGACGGGGAGCCACCCATGCTCGCCGTCCGCAGGCCCGCGCTTACGGTGGCCGGAGATCGTCCCGCGATCCCCGACGCCCGGTGTGTCCTTCGCGATGGCTGGGTTGCGAGGAGGCAGCGCTTCGCTGCCTCACGCGTCCCGCCTCCTCCTTAGCTAGCATGACTGCTTCGCAAAAGGAGGAGACGGCATCCCAATCCCCCTCGCTCCGCATCATGGCCTGCACTAGGCCCGGACGCGAGAGGTCGCCATCGCCGATCACTTCCCTGAGGACACGGCGGTGCTCAGCCCACGAAGGGCATTCTCCCACCGTGTGTTCCACCGTGTCCTCAGGGCGGTCCTCGCAGTGATGACACCCGGGCGTTTCCTCCCGCCCCATCAGACACAGGTACCTCCCGAAACTTCCATGTCCGGTGAGGACCTGCGTCAGGCGGTAGGTGAGGACGCCGTAGCGTCTCTCAAGCCACTCCTCAAAGAGGGGACTTACCGCTGCGATGGCAGCGAGCCCAGCCCTCGGTTGCGACAGTCGTTGCTGCCATTCCGCCATGAGATCGCGCCGGAGCTCATCCCGCCACGCACTTATCTGGCGCGGCAGCGGAGTTTCGCCCCGGCGACGTGCCTCCGCGCGCATGCTGTGCACGCGCGCGAGCACCTTCGCCTCCAGATCCCACGGCGGTAATCCGGCACACCTGGAACACTAGAGGCATTACAAGTGTGTTACCGGCCTTTTGGGGATTAGGAGTTTGAGGATCATTGGGGATTCAGGAATTGGGAAGATTGGGGAAGGGGAGGGCAATTGGGCCTCCGGTAACCTCACTCACACGACGAAACACAACCCAAGCGTTCTTCACGTCGGTTTATATATAATAGCCCTACTATGAGTTATTATACTTACCAATATTGCTCTCATGTATCTCAAACACAGCCTCATGTCCAGGTATATAAGTGGTATTCAGATGCAAAACAAATTGTACGCCTTCTCTGACGTATACGTGTTCAATTTCCACGCGTCGCCCACAGTACTGTAGCCTTTTGTATGCGCAATCACCATATTGTTCATACCAGATTGGGAATCTCTCTATTTCATACCATTGGCCTAGAAACTGAAAAGAAAAGGTGCTTATTAAGGTTCACGTTTTGTGTTCTCTGTAAGGTGCTTAAAATATTTACAATTTCCTTCACAAAGCACGAAATGAATTGAAAATCTAAATAATATTTTTTTCACTCGACGATTGTAGGTTGAAACGATGAGCTCAAATAGATTGCCGTTGAAATGCGGCCATTTATGAAGAAATGGTCACACTAAAGTACACAAATGAAACTTTTATTCTAGAATCGAATAAACTGTTTTGAAAAGATTCATAAAGATGTACCTACACAGATAAAACTCTGGTTCTAGAATCGAATACAACTGTTTTGAAAAGATTCATAAATAAAATAAAGCATTTATAAAAATAGTCTGTAGAATAACTTACTTCTTCGACATCAAAATATTGCATAGTCTTCACATCGGGACATGTTCCGAATTGCAGAACTTGTCCGCCACAAAACACTACGTAAATCACTAATACTAAGTGCAATAAATACAGTTGTCTGTACATTTTTGTTAGTATGATCTCTGAGACTAGTTTTTTCGATGGCCTGAGAAAGTAAGATAAGATGTTTCGTTATCATTATCTTGTTTGGATGTCGATAAGGCAGATGCATGATAAATGTTTGATTTCCAATAATTTCATTCTGTTTTTGATGCATCTTGAATATAGTATCATAAAAATTATAACAATAAGCTTTAAGGTATAATTTTAAATTATTTGTTTATATTTTAAGTGTCGCTATTGTAACTTAACTTCTATTTACGTATTATACGAGGTTGGCGAAGTGGTTGGGCAACCGGCTGCCGGGCAACGTGTAGCGGGTTCGATTCCCACACGGAGCAACTCTTTGTGTGATCAAACTGTTATTTCGGGTGTCCTGTGTATATGTGAATTTTTAAGTTTGTAAACCCACTAACGACACAGAAATAATTCCTAGTGTGGGCATCCAAAAAAACAAAAAATAATATTCCTTTGTGATGTCATACATTTTGCTATCAACTGGTATACTTTTTCCTGTAGTTAGAATAGCTATATTTAAGATAAAAATAATTGTTGTTATTTCAGTCCATAAAATTAGAAACTCGAATACAATAATTATAAGCGGAAACGATTTGTTTTTACCGAGTCATTTTCGCTATTGAACATCTTTATTTATCTATTAACGCATTTATAGGAACTCAACTATTTCGACTATTTGGAGAATACAATAGATTTCTTGCAATATAAATACAATGAATGTCTAAACATAGAGAGAATAACAAAAGAAGACCTTTGTTTTTTATTTCGAGGCACGTGGCAAGAAAAAATAGTATTATTGGCACAATGAGAAGCCTACTTCCTATGCTTACAACAATAAACAAATAACATGTTTTTTAAGAATGGGAATTTTATGTTTTATGGGATTCGAAAAAGTAATTTTATTATAGAATTTTAATAATGCGTATAATGGGTATCCCAAGGGCGTTTCCCAATTCATTATGACGACCTTAAAAATTTTAAGAAAAGAGCGACCTTTTAATTGATTGTCAACGCACTTGTGACTTCTTAGTTGTTGTCCATGGACGGCATTGATTGCTTACCATCAGGTGCTTTATTTAGCTGTTTGTCCCCCCGATCCCATATAATACCACTTTTTCATTACAACTGTGTATTTGTATCTACTTAGGTGATACATCTCGATCGAGGGTCTATCTACGTTTTTCATGATTACAAAATTACGCTCCGTCTTTAAAATTCTTGAGATCAATTAAATTTTCTTTTAACAAAATGACAAATAAGACATTAAGATTACAAATATTTTACCTAACAATAAAATGTTCGTTGACACAAACCCTCTAGTCTACACAACAAATCTCCCCGGAACTACAGAACTGAAGCCAACAAAAACTATTCACTTTATAAGACGTAACTTTTTGCGTTAGGTTTCAGTTGGATGCCAGCATCGGCAGCCTGTGTTTGTCATAATGTTGGCCCAATGTTTGGTGTTGGTCGCTTTATTATGGAGAGTGGAAGGTGCTATCATGAACATGAGCTGTCCTGTGGTGACGCCACGGGAATTGGACTGGAAAGCGGTAAGCTGTGTAAAATCTTTCTGGAATATTCGAAACTGTTACGTTCATTCATTCCTTAATAATTGGAAACTACTATAATTTTATAATGTGCATTAATTAGTGTTTGATTCTATTTATATTTTCTAAGGTGTGTTATGAAATATGATGCAATAAACCCTTAATTATATACATAAGTAGAACGATTGTTGTGTTCAAAAAATGAATTCCTTTGGGTCCTTTTGTTTGCATTATTAAGCAAAGCAAATAATGATATATTTTTAAACTACATCGTAACAGCCTATTAATCGACTTTATAAGCTTAGCAATAACAATGTTATATAGCACCTATCAAACTAAAGCTTAACACTAGAGACGAGATAAAGATATCATACAATACTAATCCTTTCCACATTGAATTAAAGTCAGTTTTCAAATGCATTGTCCTGATAACGCAATTACTTTCATCTACCAGCTGGACGGCATCTGGTACTTAACAGCAGTAGCTACGGAAGACATGGCGGTACAAGGTGACTGCGCCACCGTACTCTTTGACCACCAGAACACCACAGACGTCTCCATCAGCTGGATCACCAACAACACAGTTACTTACTATAATGGTTCTGTGGCCCTCATTCCGGATCCAAATAGCAACAGTACCGGGGACCTACTCCTCGTCACTTATGATGGTAAGATTTCGACTTTATTGCTGTCTTTAAAAAATTTTTTGATGGAAAGGTTGTAGTAAACTTTATGGTGGTCGTGTTTTAATGACTTCAAAGTCAAAGTCAATATTATTTGTTTTAGTCAAACGCCGGAAGGCACTTTTGAACGTCAAAAAAAAATTATAATGTTTGTCATTTGGTGAAGCTATTTTCTCGTTCTAAAGTGTATAAGAACTCCACTAAAAACTCCATAGATTACTCTTTTTCAATAAGGTTCACAATACGATCCCTAGTTACATTGTTTCGTTGGTACCTAACTTCATTGTGTAAAATATTATCTACGTGCTTAAAAAGTATATTATAGAGATGTAAATTTATAAAAACTTTGGTGAAAATTCTATAGAATGTAGTAAAGAATATGGTTAAGAAAATTTGAGAAAATTTTCATTGGGGTGAAAATGTAAAATTACAAAAATTATTGTTAAACCTTACAAACAATTTACATTCCTTAATTTTAATTGATCAACGGACTTTCAAATAATCTAATCTACATAAGTCAGTTTCACTCAATCATGCATTATTTACCTTATCCGAACGGCAACTAACACAATGCCGCTAATTTCGCAAAACATAACTAAGTGAATTAACAACTCCTAAAAGGTCAGTGGTGAGCTATTTTCTACCATCAAATAATCAAGTAGATTAAATAATTCCACAAAAAAAAATCCTACTATAAATGGACGAAACCCGTCCTCTTCTCATGCATGAGAGCGCGGATTCGAAATCTGCGGATTCGAAATCTACCAATGATTTTCCGAGTTATAAATATGTAATTTCTAATATTATTTCCACCACTGATAAACGGTGAAGGAAAACCTCGTAAGGCAACCGGAGCATATAATTTCTAATTACAAGTTTGAAATCGCTAACCCGAATTTAGCAAGCGTGGTGATTAATCAAACGTTCTTCATGCCAGAAGAAGCCTTTCGTCAGTAGAGGCTACTTATAGACTGTTGATATGAAATAGACCAACAGATACAAAAGAATCTCTGTTCCTTCGTTTCTGAACCCGATTGACTGGCAATTCCAAACTGTTAGTATCACTTAAAGTGAATATTTTCTTAACCGTAGTAATTTTCAGGTTTAACTGGACTTGTTCGATTATGTTAATTAACGTTTTAGTCACGAACTACTAAAACCAAGCTAAATACACCAAAACAGTCTTATTAAAATGGTTCTACACAATAAATGTTATACGTTTTATAACCTTTTCGACATTTGCATAACAAAATGTGCAGACGGATCACCTGTTGGTAAGCAATCGGCGTCACCCATGGACACCTGGAACACCAGATGCGTTACCGGCCTTTTGGGGATTAGGAGTTTGAGGATCGTTGGGGATTCAGGAGGGGAGGGTAGTTGCTTCACGTCGGTTTTCTGTAAAGCCGTGTAACTTAAACGTGTTGTGTGTATAAGACTATTGTATCGAAAATCTGTACTTAAATATCTAATATCCACTACGTGACAATTACATAAGATGTCACTTAATAAGATTAAGTAAATTGGCTTCGTTATGTAACTTGTTAAAATTGGCCTAGATCCTGAGGATAGTTTGCACCTACCTACGTGTCACTCAAAGAAAACTAGCAGTAGTTAGTGACTAAAGCTGAAAGATAATACCTAAGCAACATGAGAATATCTGATGTTCAGATAATGGTCAGTAATAAACTTAGGTAAATCTTTTGATAACCGACTGCCTCGTTGTCTGAGTGGCCAAGTGGTCGCAAGTGCGACTGCCGGGTCTCGGGTCCGATTGCCGGGTCGGGCAAAGTACTATTGGAATTGGAATCTCAGTGGTAGCACGGAGTCTAAAATTGTGCCCGGTATATGGCAATAGGCTCACCCCCTATTCATGGGCCTCATAACATAAATAGTGAGAAGTTGGTGTTATATTATTCAGTGGCATTAATGTACACCTCTGCCTACTCCTTCGGGGATGAAAGTGATGTTATGTTATGCTATCTTTACATAGTGCTTTAGAATGTAGGTCACACATTCATACTACACATTTTCTAATAATGCATTTTAATTTTCTTTTACAGATGAAAAGACTGAAACCTATTCTTTTCTCGACGTAAACTACGAGCATTACGCTGTTATCTTCGCGTGCTATAATAATGAGGATGGAAACAGCAGTACTTGTGAGTTAATGTATTTTTTATTTATATCTATATACTATTAAAAATTAATTCATTTTTCTCTTGGTCACGGCATTACGCGTGAATGGCTGGACCAATTTTAGTAATTCTTTTCTTGTTGTATTTGTTATTATTAGGAGAAAGTTCTTATGACTTAAAACTGAAAATCCTACGAGAACGGGAGAAAACGGGATGGCCCATACCAAGTCGCGGGCAGAAGCTAATATTTTATACAAAGAATTTTTCATTAAATATATACTGAAATAACGTGACACGACAATCTAACTATAGGAAACATTTGATTTTTTGCTGCTAAAGGTAGTACGTTGACTGAGACATCAATAAATTCAGCTAAAACTGTGTTTAATTTACTTTTAATACTGTATTCGTAATTCTATCTATAACAAATTATTACCGCTGATCTTAGATTAATGTAATCTTGATCTTAAGTAAAAACGAATAATCAGTTTGAAGTAGTGTTATTAAACATTGGTCATTTGCATGATTTTAATCGCGTCCTATATTTCGCATTAATGTTTTATTACATTTATATTAAACTAGCGACCCGCCCCGGCTTCGCACGGGTGCAATATGCATGTATTATACATACAAACCTTTCTTAAGAATCACTCTATCTATTAAAAAAAACCGCATCAAAATCCGTTGCGTAGTTTTAAAGATCTAAGCATACATACGGACATACAGCGAAAGCGACTTTGTTTTATACTATGTATTGATTTGTTGCAAGGAGCAAACGATAGCGAAGATTGAAATGATATGTAAAGACTAAAATCCTCCAATACTAAAACTAATTTATCATAAGTTATTCATAGACCTGTTGCTGTCTGGAGGATCACCGAAAAAATACTGCAAAGGAACAAAAAAAAAAACGAACGAAATACAAATAGGCGTTTAGTGAAAAATGGTAGACAATAGGTCTGTCTCGACACAGTCTGCTGTGATTTGCTGCGTGACTAGTACTAAAATTGGATTACACGCATCGCTTGCACTGTTTGCTAGCACGCATAAATTACACGTGTCGATGTTTAATACTGTTCCAAGGTGTCCGACACTACGGTGTGAATGCTTGAAGCCCCAGGGCGATAATGATCTGAATTAACTCTGTATTGACGTTTTATTAACAATAACATTTAAGTATGGGAGAGCCATGCTTCGGTACGAATGGCCCGGCTCGACCAGAGTGATACCACGGCCTCACAGAAAACCGACGTGAAGCAACGCTTGCGTTGTGTTTCGTCGTGTGTGTGAGGTTACCGGAGGCCCAATTACCCTCCCTTTCCATTGGGAGGAGATAGCTCCCCAATCCCTAAATCCCCAACGATCATGAAACTCCTTATCCCCAAAAGGCCGGTAACGCACTTGTAACGCCTTTGGTGTTCCAGGTGTCCATGGGCGACGCCGATTGCTTACCATCAGGTGATCCGTCAGCTCGTTAACCGGCTTATGCCATAAAAAAAACAAACCAGAAAGATATTGTTCTGTAACTGTAATTATGAAAATTGGTTCTTTTTATATGTGTCTCGTATGTTATGTTTTCAAAGTTCACTCCGTATTCCAATTAGACATATACATACTTCCTCTCAGAGTCATCAATGTAATACAACTGCCAAAAAATTCTTAACGTGCACTTAAAAGGGACAAGAGGTTTGGGGTTCGATTCCCAGGCCGGGCAGCAAAGTATTGCTGGTTTTTATAAAAATTCTCAGTAGTAGCATGGAGTCTGGAACTGTGCCCGGTATATGGCAATAGGCTCACCACCTATTACATAGGACTCAGAACATAAGTAGTAAAAAGTGGATATTACATTGTACAGTGGCATAAAGAGCACCTCTGCCTACCCCTTCGGGGATAAAAGGCGTGGTTTTATGTTATGTTATGTTCATTTTAAACGCAGATTAAGTGATGACCGTGGGTCAATCTAATACCAACCGTAAGTCGTATCTTCAGTACCTCTAGATTCGTAATTAATTGCTTTAATCGAACGTAAAAACAATGGAAATGGGGAAAACCACAGGCTAATTCCAACACACGGTCAAAAGTGAAGAATGTCAATTACCTTACATTAACTTTTTTTCTGGACGGCGGTAGTGGACGGCAATTTGCCGGTCAAGTGGAGGCCGAACGCGGTCGCACGGAAACGTGGCTGATACGAATACTTTTCAATTACAAGCTCATTTGTTTAAAATTTATTATGTAATGGTTCGGTGCGCGATGAAAAATTATTTAAAAATAAACGCATTCATTGACATTTCCGACAGCTGTCAATGTTATGTCACTTTGACGTTTTTATTAAGTTCGATCTACGTGTCAATTTGTATGACGGGATTTTTAACCGACTTCAAAAAAGGCGGGGTTGAAGTCGGTTTCCTTAAACGCAGTTTAACGAGTACAATGCCCCTTTCTCATCTTATAAAATATTTTTAGCAAAAGTTTCTGAGGTTTACAGTTTACAGGCCTATGTAAGTGATATAGGGCTTAATTGGTTATTTTAAAATTAATAATTATTATTACAAAGCATAGTTAAGATTGTAATTTGATTTTGATAAAAGTGTTATCCGTTCCGATTATCAAATCATATCAAAAATTTGCTGCTGTTGTGCAAATATTACATTGGCACAGTGCGATTTTAATCTAGATTTTATCTACAAAACGTAGGTACTTCTTTTACTCACTTCAATCTACATAAAATAAAACTGAAACAATAAATGACTACAGTGCGACTGCCGGGCAAGGGGGTTCGATCCCGGTCGGGCAAAGTATTACTGGGTTTTTAAAAATTCTCAGTAGTAGCTCGGAGTTTGGAATTGTGCCCAGTATATAGGAATAGACTCATTATATAGGACTCATAACATAAAAAGTGAAAAGTGAGTCTTACAATGTGCATCTCTGGCTACTCCTTCGGGGATAAAAGGCGTGATGTTACGTTAATGTTAAAATATCGATATATTTAGCGATATCAACGGACTGAACTAATTATAATACTTTTTTCTAATCATCGATTCATAATAAACTTTAATCTAATCGATAGACTAGTGTACCTAATTATAAAATATATATATTCTTAGAAATCTTTAAGTAATTTGATGTTAGAGACTCTGATTAAAGTTAAGGGGATTTTTTGAAGCATTATCTTGTGACATTTGTTTTTATGCTTTTTGGATTTTTTTATTGGTCTATTATAATACAAAATAATACAGTCTAGTAATTCTGTAAGGTATTGTGACCTATATGCCTTTTTTTTAAGGGGGGAAAATCATCGAATGACTTCTCCCGCCTGCGTGAGGCGGGAGGGAGTGTCAGGCTCTTACTGACTAAAAACCACCCCGTTCCTTCTCCTGCACCTCGAGCCGGAGCCCCGGTTACCCGTTAGGTTCTCTTTGTACCTATATGCTTAACAGTTAACCAGTTACTACTGAGAACTAATATTATGACCAGCAAAAAATGGCCATACTATCAGAATTCTTCTGATTTATTCACTTTGATAAACAGCAATTATAATATACTTTGCAATAAAGTTGCTAAATATATTTTATGTATTTCCAGATGAAATATGGAAGTTGACACGTACTCCACATTTAAAGGACACAGATGCAGTCAAACTGGACCAGGCTATAGCCAACTACAGTCTTCAAGACACTCCCTTCTTCACCTTCAACAACACAGAAGACACTTGTAGAGTAAATAGAGGAAACCATCTAGACACTTCCACCCTCATCATGACTTCAGCAGCTGCACTTGCGTTATTCAGGAGATTTTATTAAAATGAAAACTATTTAATGCGATAGAATAGGCAAGATTATTCAAAACATATTGAAGTGTTCGTCTGGTAGATGAATGTAAAATAATGGATACGTATTTTTCCTTTCTTACGGAATTAATAATACAAGATGGTACATTTGGTTGAAAATGACATGACATCTATTCTTGGTAAAAATATGTCTCATAGAAGTGGTCATAGCATAATATCACGCCTTTTATTCGCACTTAATGCCACCGTACAATGTAACACCCATTTTTCACTATTTATGTAATAGGGGGTGAGCTTATTGTTATATACTGAGCACATTTCCAGATTAGGTATAACATTAAGTGTGGGAGAGCCATGCAAGTGTGGAAGAGCCATTCTTTGGCACGAATGGGCCGGCTCGACCGGAGTGATACCACGGCCTCACAGAAAACCGACGTGAAACAACGCTTGCGTTATGTTTCGTCGTGTGAATGAGGTTACCGGAGGCCCAATTACCCTCCTTCCCTTCTTCAATCCTTGAATCCCCAACAATCCTCAAACTCGTAATCCTCAAAAGGCTGGTAACACACTTGTAACGCCTCTGGTGTTCCAGGATCCATGGGCGACACCGATTGCTTACCATTAGGTGATCCGTCTGCTGGTTTACCGGCTCATGCCGTATATGGCAATAGGCTCACCCCCTATTACATGGGACTAATAACATAAATAGTGAAAAGTGGGTGTTACATTGTACAGTGGCATTAAGTGAAGAAATGTCCAACTTTAATTTTCTGCGATTCTATTAACTGTATTATCGTCTTTACGTTTGGAATTTGTGAATATTTGCGTTTTAGATATTTTATGACTAATTGAATGTTTTCAATTGTTTGCTGCGTTCTACATCATTGATTGTTCGGCAAAAAAACTTCCAATCAGTAAGTTAACAAGATCTGATTATCTGTTGATTAAAATCAGTGGAATATGTTTTAAAGTGAATAGTGACTTCACATTTTAAGTACTTATCAATATATATTTGTCAACCGTTACGTATTAATTAAGAAATAAGCATTCTTATTATAATATGATTCTGTACTTAAATTCTATATGTAATTTAATTAGTTATTGAGGTATTAATTTATTTTAAATATAAGGATTAAAGTAATTTGTTCAAAAATGTATCTTTATTTACTTATTTCAGATGACACTGCAAAGTCCATTGGATAGTGAATAAATATTTAGTTTTATCTACTTAAATTACATAAAAAGTAAGCCTATACCTACCTAACGGGTTACCGGAGCTCCGGCTCGACGTGCAGGAGAAGGAACGGTTTTTGGTCAGTAAGAGTCTGACACTCCCTCTCGCCTCACTCAGGCGGGAGCAGCCATATGTACGATGACTTTCCCCCCTTAAAAATACCTACCAGAATTGGAACATGTGCTGCCATCTTTCCGTTAATTCCAGGACCACCTATGAAACCCATCTTTGTATGATAGAGGTGAAATTCGCTAGTGATATCACAAGTGTAATCTAAAGTGTTAGTTGGCAGTTCCAGTACTTCTTCAGAGATGGCGCTGTAAAAAATAATGGTAAAATAATTTTGAGGAAAATAATGGAACCATATCGAAAATACTTTTCTTGAAAATACGCCAATTTTCTATTAGAAGCCTTAAAGTTTTTTTTTTATATATAGACTATAATGAAATTTGATATTGCTGTAGTACATAGACACTTTTTAATTACTTAATTCATCATCATCAACAGTCTATAAATATCCACTGCTGAGCAAAGCCTCTTCTCACATGGAGAAAGTTTGAGCAATCACCATGCTTGCTCAAGGCGGGTTGGTGATTACAAACTTATAATTAGAAATTATAAGCCCAGGTTTCCTCACGATGTTTTCCTTCGCCGTTTGTCAGTGGTGTCTAAATATTCTTAGAAAGTACATATAACTTTGAAAAAGTCACATTGATACTTGCCGTTGGTAGGTTTCGAACCCGCACCCTCATGCATGAGAAGCGGGCATCTTAAACCTCCGGGACACCATGACATTATGTTAATGACTTAATTATTGTTAGTTTAATAGTAATTAACAATTTGGTAATATTTTGATATAAACAAAAGAACTGC